TACAATTTGCTCAAATAACATGGGTTTAATCAAGGAGAGGACCCGTGAAGGGAAGGCCTGATATCTGCAATCATGGCAATCAGAGCTTAGGCGCTCAGCTACGTGAAGCGGCAGTGTACATGCTTCTAGGGCCTTGAGAAATAGCGCTTAAAGTGAAATGCACAATGGGACTGGAACCGAGTGAAATCGGTCAACCAGAAAGATTAGGAACGGATCTACGAGACAATGAGGGGATCGGGATTGGAGGCCCGAGTGGGATCAGCCGATCGAAAGAGAGGGGGTCGGGGTGAATAGCAAGTGTTATGAGGCCACAATAGATTTGCCACAAAAGGGCACACATTTTGACGAGTTGAATGTAAACAAGTGAGAAGTTGTGATACAGCGGGAGTTGGATAAGAGGATAAAGAGAGACTAGATAGGCCAGGACAGGAAGAGGAGTGATAGTGTAACCATTTTCGGCACAACGTTTGTCGTGGGATTGACTTCACTTGTCTCTTTGGCGAGTTCGTAACTTGGGGCGGAGAATGATAAAACTCACTGATGATGCCATCAATGATGCCAGCGAAACGTTTGCGAATGTACCAAGTCCACTGTGACAACTACTATGACAGACGATTTCGGACTAGGTGCGTTTTACTAAGTCGGCCTGACAACAAGACCAAGTTGAGACTACGAGTTTAACCCACTTCCATATATAAGAGATTTGTTCATCCTATTTCGTTTTAGGTTATGAAAGCTGATAATTGAATTTTCACACAATTATATGAGAAGACTAATATTTCCATTTAATTTCAAATAGCCTTGCTTCCCATAAGGCTACTACTACTTCCGGGCCAGTCTTCAAAACAGTGGATTTTGGGTGGACTGCAATTTTGACCTCACTCCCAGTGGTACTCGAACCAGACTATAAGAAATACTTCCAAAAATTCCTTTTTGGAAGCAAGGTTGTGTGAAATTCAATGGAAATGTAAGGTATACTCAGATAATTGTGGGAAAATTCAACAAGTGCTTAGCCCCTTAAACGAAATAAGATTGATACGTCTCATTTACCTAAAATTAGGTTGCCTAGACCTATTAATCTTAAGGGACTAGAACTCGTATTCAAGATTTACTGATGGCCTCGGGACCTACTTCCTAAAAATAGAGAATTTTCCACTAAGGCCAAATGGCAGCTGGCCAAGAGGATTTCATCGGTATCTTCTGATTGGATAAACCTACATATCTCTTTCATACACACTATCCCCTCGAAATGGAAGTGAAGTCCCCAATAACAACTAATCGATGCTCACAAGTTCTTTTTCTGCCAGTTACCTGGGGATTCTTGAGGTCTGGCATGAGAAAAGAGTTCCCTTGACATGAGAAACGAAAACTGCTTTCAAAGGCCTAACGCTGTCCGTTGACAAATTTGAAGTCAGACTGGGTACCTTCTCTCCTCGAAAGCAGGAATAGTGATAATTGAAATAAGGCTCAACCTCTTTACAATAAAGCAATATTAGTTCAGATGTAGAAACGTTGCCACATTTATATTCATAGTCCCCATGATGCTAGTTAAATTCACCTTGGCTTGCCTCCAAAAAAGGTTTAATCATCCAAGCTGGAGTGTAGCTACTAACACGCCCTCTCATCTCAGCAATATCTGCAGCGGGATTCGAGACCTGGTCACGAAATTCGTGATGATACATTAAAGGGATTGTTGAAGAAGCAAACACTTATTTGCCCTTAGAATTAACAACGTTACTTATATTTGGTGGGAACAGCCCTCGAAGCTTCTTGAGACAGAAGCCCGTACCACAACTGCGGAAAAACGCCTTTTAAAGCCAACAACAAATGTTTGCCCATAAAAGTACTACCTACCGTCTTGTAGAAAGCCAGCACCAGGAGAGCCTCTTCCAGGCTTATGCCAGACTTCCGAGCAGAGTGGGAACTGAATTTGTGTCTGTGACGCTGATGCCTCCGCTTATGGTGCCTTTTGCTTCGACGGCCACCGCTTTTTTTCTTCACTTTTGCCAATTTCCGCTTTTTCACCACATTCACAGCATCACCTGCAGTCACCTCTTGGTGTGTATGTTCATCTTGTTCTGTTACTACCGTCGGCTTCGTGACAGGCTTTTTGTTGGTCGGCCGAACACGCTGGCAGGCCAGTCCAACATGGAGCAGTTGCAAGAAGCTTGCGGTACCACTGCCACTGCCCCCACTACTGCTACTACTACTTCCGGGCCAGTCTTCAACACAGTGGATGCTACAGTTCGGTTGGATTATGGGGTTGGTAGTCGACGATTCTCCAGTGGGCAGCATGACTTCAAGAATGGCACGAATCAACCACAGCAAAAGAAGATTGCTCGCGGGATGGGCCAACAATAGAGGCCACAAATAAAGTCGACCTTCGGAATGCACGAGCATCACAGTTCGTATCTGCCACTCTACTTTTGATTAGTTACCAACTTTATCGCCTTCAATACTCATACTTTCCCGTTCTTAGTTCTTGCTTGTTCTCTCTTGTTCGAGCTCCTGATCTGTTCTTGATTACTGGAAAAGCAAGTTTTTTCTTTACACTTCTTTAGCGTTTTTTTTATCACCTCCCTCGATCTTCAGCTTTGCACCCTTCAGTTCTCTGATGCTCTGATCTCCTCCTGAAACTTACTATTTCTAACTGTCCAACGAGTGTTCGAGGTTGTCAAGTTTTGGCTTGTATAGTTCAGAAAGTTTTTCTTCATGCAGTGGTGAGAAGCGCTTCTTTTAAGTGGAATTGCATTATTCCAGCCCTAGCAACCATAGGGTGTGAATCTTCTCTCATATTTTCCTGGTGAGCAATAGCGATGCCACCCGGTCATGCGAATCAGGCTGCCTGGACTCCCATGTG